CGTTCACCTTGGCAACTTGATCCCGTGTATTTTCAATCCTCATGATTCCAACCCAACATTGCATTTTCCCACAGCATCATCACCCAACGCTCTCTTTGAAGTTTATTCCCTCGGGTGCTTGCCCGCCGCAAGTCCTTCGCCCCCCTCCCCCCTTCCCTTTCCCGCGAAAACAGCATCCAGCATGGCCACAACACCAGCCGCCGGTCCCTCGGGCGCCGCCGCGACCTCGTCGTCGAACGATCCTCTCCTGACGACGCTCTGCGCCATCTGCCACATCCAGCCGCCCAAGTACAAGTGCCCGGCCTGCGACACGCGGACGTGCTCGCTCCCCTGCACGCGCCGCCACAAGGCCTGGTCGTCGTGCAGCGGCATCCGCGACGCGACGGCCTACGTGCCGCGCGCCCAGCTGCGGACCCCGGCCGGCGTCGACCACGACTACAATTTTCTGCACGGCATCGAGCGCGCCGTGCAGCGCGCCGAGCGCGAGATTGTCGAGGAGCGCCGCCTGCTCGCCGAGGACGAGCTGCGGCCCGTCGAGATTCGCAGCGTGCAGTGGCGCCGCCAGAAGGACGGATCGAAGAAGAAGGTGCTCGTCACCGAGGTGCTGCGGAACGGCGGCAGAGATGGGCGCAGGCGCAGGAGCAGGACCAGCAGGCGGCGGCGTGCGGCCAGACTTGTCAAAGCAGATGCGGCGACGGCTCGCGACGTTTGGCATCCATGTGCGACGCGCCCCGACGGGCATGTCGAGGCAGAAGGAGAACGGCACAAACGTGCACAAGGCGTCGGGCCGCATACACTGGCAGGTCGAGTGGCTGCTGCTCGAGTCTGGCGAGGCCAAGGAGGCCGACAGCAACGCCGAGGTCGAGGCAGACGACAATGCCGACAACAGCAGCAGCGAGGAGGAGCACGACGACCACGCCAGGCGGAGCAAGATTCTGACGACGCGCTTCCTGGGTAAGGCCATGGACAACGCGCCTCTTTACTCGGCGTTCGGCCACGGCCACAGGGCCCATCTGAACAGGCCTGCGCAAAAAGGAAGAGCAGAA